TGCACCCAGGGATTCCCTGTGGGAAGGCTGGGAGCCAGCTAAACTGACATTTCGTGTATTTGACAAGCCGTGGTACTGAATGTTAACCTGCATTCAACCTCCATCGTCCTTCATCTCCCCCTATTCATTTCTCCATCACACACCCCCTACCCCCGTTCCCCCAATCCAACTTCTCACTACTTTACACCCAGTTTGCTCCGTGTCGCCTTCTCAGAGAGCAAGGCCTTCTTCGGTAAAGAGACTGAACTGCAGCTGAACCTAGAATAAGGGGCAGACCGGTGGCCAAGTGAGAAATAGTGATGGTGTTTGAAGAGCAGGGACAGGAAAAGGAAGTGGACAGGAGGTGCTAAAAAGGTGAGAACAGTTGAAAGCACAAGGAAAAAATGACATTGAGGAACGGAATACAGCAAGGTATAATGGGAAAAGGTGAATAACGGAGTGTTTCAAACAGAAAAAAGAAAATAACCTTTTTTTAATTTCAGCCATCTTTTTTGTGATTGAAAAGGTAAAGCATGCGACTACATCAATACACCAGTAAGACTGCATTTCTTTTGATCTGCATAATGCTTTGGGAAGAAGTGAAGATCCTCGCTACAAAATAAGTTAATCATTATTTGAATGAAAGAAACAGATGATGACACCTACTTAAACAATGTGGGTGCTGGAATGAAAGAAAGCACATGCTGCGTAAAATGTTGGAGTTATGATTCATCTTGTGTTTTATAGCATTAAATCCCATCATTTTTATTATTGATTGGCGACTTTCATTTAGTTTTCAGAAGCTAGCATGTCACCAGCACTATGTTAAATCATCCTTGGTGGTTTATTTACATCAATACAAATGTATAGTAAAGCGTGCGTTTAAGTTCTGCGGCATTTACAAAGACACACATATTACCGAAACCATTAGAGCTTGAATTCAATGGATATGTTTGACATTTCTCAAGAAATAATTTTCACCATATTAGCTGGATTATTAGTTGTGACATTCGGGAAAATCAAGTGCGACTTTCAGTTGCCTACAGATTAATATGATGGTTGCATCAACAACTCTGAGCTCTTTGAGATAAGGTTTAAAACAATCTGCCCAGTAGGTGACTACATTTTTTTTTTTTTGAAGTACAGCAACCTACCACTGATACGGGGCACACCGAGAGGACTTAAGAAGCTGATTGCTGAAAATCTATGGTGCAGCACAAAGGAGCTGAAGCTAGGCTTATGTTGTTTATGAGGATTTCCTGTCTTTTATGGATTTTTATTGAGGCCAGATTCCTTGATCTGAAAGTATCATTTTATTCACAAAACGAAAGGATAAGAAAAAAAAGAGCGATATGTCAAATTAACAAGCAGCACAGAGCAACGACATTAAATAAAGAAGATAAATGATGAAATTTGAGGAAAAAATGCCACAGAGGAAAATAAATGGAGACGACTGCTAAGGAAATGGTGAAGTGGAAAAAGACAGAACATTTTCTACAGTGGTGGCAACACACATCAAAGCTCGACATGTCTAACCTTTTTGAATAGAGAAACAGAGAGAACGAAAGAAAGAATAAGTGCGAGAGAAAGGAGAGCTGGTGGTGATGTCATCTTTCATCTTGCCAGTGTTGCCACCCGTGATGTCTGTGGAAAGCTGCCATTACGTGTGTCATCTGATTATTGTACAAAAGTGCACTCGGTGTGGAAAAGAAAGCGATGGCTAGTGCAACAGTGAGAAAGATAGATAGATGAGGGTGCGCTAACTAAAAGCAACCTAAGAATGTTACATAAGATATGATGTCTCAGCTCCCTTCATTCTTCCCACTGCTTCTGATCTTCAAACCAGGTGCTAGAATGACATGACAGGAGCTGCCAGTGGGGGAGTGGGGGGTTAGATCAAAAGGGCAAACCTACTGAGTGACAGTGGTGTGCACGTAATTAGGTCAAACCACAAATGCATTGGATATGAATCCATATAAGCCGCTAATGACGAGCTTGCTTTACAATTCAGCCCTACTGCTGCTGTCTTGTTAAAATTTCACAAATCTTGTTTTGTCCTTATTTGATTGCAAGTTTTACAGAGTTCTTACTCTCTTGGATCACACAACTTTAAACATATTCTTTTCAAATGTACTTCTAAGCCAGAGAGAAAGTTTAGCCAATTTGTCATATTTCCTGAAAAGAAGTGGTGCGAGATATTCATGTGATGTTGCAAGCGGCATCGCTAGCATCGCCTTTTATTAATAAGGGATAACTGCTGTGTTCATTTCCACAGTTGTATGATTGAACTCTGCTAGCAACATTTACACATGTAAAAAAAATATGCTTATTTATTTTGAGCCTTGGTGAAGCTGTTTTAATTCCTCTTCGCCACCCTTCCTTCAAGTCACCCTTTCATTTGATCAGCTGCCCCTCACAAACAGAGGTAGGAAAGTGATGTGCTTACGCTCAGAGCTGTGGTTACAAATGACCCTAATAAGGATATCAGCTCTCACTGATATGATACAGAGCCACAAGTAGCTGAAACCAAACATTTAGAGCAATCTGATGCCTGAGGTTTCAGCTCAAAGGGATTAATTGGACTTATGCTTACCTCATTATCTGGAAATTTGGCCGTGCTGAACATCTAACAGTGTAATGTGATATAGACACATATATATATATATACACATATATATATACACACATATATATACACATATATACACACACACGCACACGCACAGTCCTTATTACTGAAAATAAGGACTAGCATAGCAAGTAAGTGGATTAGTAAGAAATATGTTTTTTATAAATTACTTTTCAGAGACAGAGTCACAAAGTGCTGTAAAACAAAATAGAATAAATTACATAAAAACTAGAAATAATCACAAAAAATAACAGAAGTTTTAAATATAGTAAAGAGCAACAAAAACACAGAATAAAACAGAAGAAACAAAAGCTGATAATTAAAGCAGGCATTATCAATAAGATAGAATAAAACAGAAACGCTACATAAACAAATAAGTCTTTAGCTGATTTTTTAAAAGAGTTCCAGTTTTAAAAAAAATAGAACATCTTAATTTCATGGTTTTAGTATGTAGTATGTAGGCTTATCAAAGTCAAAGTCTCTTCATTTGTCTCACTTGGGAGACATTTGCTTTGGACATAGGGGTCACAACGCACTCCACAGTCTTCAATCTTGTGTGCAATAGCTAAGAAACTCTGAACCTGCAATCACAGAAAGCTAACAGCGCTAACTGGTAAGTGAGCTGTGTTGAGTTTAAAATCAGAGTTTGGGTTTAAAATCTGTGAAAAGAGACGTTTTCACACTGATTCTTATATATACACAACATGTTTTAAGTGCAACATAGATTCTCCCTTTTTTTCATATGTGCAAGTTCTTAAGCCACGCCTTACTAACATCATACATGAAGCCCTGCTGTAAAGTTACAGCAACCCAGGTGCCGCATCGCTTTGTCGCTCGAATGTGCATATATTCAGTTGGTATGAATAAATGTATAAATGTTTGTATACTTGATTCTAATGTACTGTTAAGTCTGTTTTACACTGATGAAACTGCAGCTACCAGAACACAGAAAACACATCAATAGAATGAATTCCACTTTGATCTGTCGATAAACCAAAGCACTTTCCACATCTCCATTATTAGGCTGTGGAATGGTAACCTTTAATATTTTATTGCATCCAGTTTATATTTTCTTGAGCTCTAAAGCGTGGCTGTCACGTTAGAAACAGACAGCAACATTGAGAGCACACGTGGCGATAAAATAATTAACTTGCTCTTTGTTTTTTCACTCTGCGCACTTAATTCCAAGCTTATTGATTTTTCTGCAGCGTTAATCTCTTGTTTTATTTGTGACAGTGTTGCGATTGACTGTTAGATTTTTTTAATATTGTTTATAGATTTATATCACTGTTTTATCATCATCATCACCTTATAATATCTCAACTGGAGTAGGAGGCATTCTCAAAGATCACGTTGTGTGGAAGTGGACTCTTGTGACGTGTGAAATGCCCATCACGCTGTTGTGATACCAGCTCCAACTGCGATTTGGGGTTTTGTTAAGCCAGCCTAGCTTTGTTGAACTTCCTAGTAGTATACATCTCAGCAGTGTGTTAGAGAAGCAGCTGAGATAAACAATCTGGATCTTCTCCATTTAGTGCTTAAAACAAAGTCTAAAATCTACTGGGGGCCATTGTAAGAGTATAGACGGGTATTGTGAGCTTGCTTACTAGAACAGGTTACTACATACACTTTGGGAATGTAGCACCAGTGAATTTATTTGCAGATCGTGATAACAAAGCCATTTTACCAGCATCTTCCTCCCCTCTAAAACCTCTGTTCATGCAACAAGAAAATAATTCCAACAGGTTTTTCACTGCACACTGTGTTTCAACTACTGTCCTTGTCTTGTCCGTGTCATTACGCACTGTGAAATTCATTAGTTGTCAAAATATCTTGTATCTTTAGCTATTGCACTTGAAGATAAGTTATTTTGAATTCCTTGAGGAGACGATTGGGTCACAGTGGAGATAATAAGCTGCTTCTTTACAAGCGATAGCCAGAATAATAATGTTGGTGCCTAGTATCTGTGCATGCTAGTCTCCTCGTGGAATCAATAGCACTGTGAAATCAATTGCACAGAAGGCTTAGCAAAGGTTTCCTGCTGTGTCCGAATCAAAAAAACAAATAAAGCTGAAAGAAAAATGAGACAAGCATCATGCTGTAGTGGGTCTGTTACCCACTGACAGTATAGCCAGACTCCAAATACTCAGGGAAGATAAAAGAATCAATACAATTTAAAAGACTTCTCTAAAATATTATCAAAGAATAAGAAAAGAAATAAGAAGCTTAACAAAGCAACCACTGAACATAAAATTATTCAGGACCGTTAACTACAGCCTCAGGTACTAAAACTTAAGGGACATAAAAAGAACCACTGGAGCAAACTTTGCAAGCACTTGTCTTAAAACTAAGAAAATGGACAGCAAATTCACTGTTAGTGATCTTTACTCACCATACACCAACAGCGTGTAATGATCAGCAGCACGACCATAGTCGTTCTGGGCCTGGCACAGGTATGTCCCGTTGTGTGATTGGCTAAGACGGGAAATCTGAAGAGTAGTGCCAGAAATCTCTGCCCTCTCAGGTAAGGTGTCATTAATCTTGGACCACTGAGTGTTTCTGGGCCTGTAAGAAATATGAAACCTTCAATCAGTTATCAAAAGTCAACCGCGATAGCAATGGTAGGAGATGACCCAGGGCTAACATATATAAAGAAAACAGAATTGGACCAAGCACTGAGCCCCGGGGGACCCACATGAGTGGTCCTGTTGAAGACATGCAGTTCTGAAGTGCTAGTTAGATACGTGTGATGAGAACCATTTGAGAGCCGTGCTACAGGTACCACCCAGGTCCATAATCTGTCAGTAAAATGGCATAATCAGTGCTGTCAAAGACTGTTGATAGTTTAAGGAGAGGGCGGAACCCTGATTCCTTAGCATCTTCACATATATGGACATTTAAGAGTCACCAATTAACCTGACATACATGTCTCTGGCCCAGGAAACTGGACTGCCCAAAGGAAATTCATACATGTACTACAAATGCCCTAGCTGACCAGAATGCTGGAATCTGCTAACTTAAATATTATAGGTTTTAGCTTTAGATGTCTAATTTTTGCAGTTTGTTATTATACCTACAACAAGCAGTGGTATTTGCTATCATGATTGGAGTTTGGTGGAGACCTGAGTGCTAAAGTGAAGCTCTCAATCTACCCTCACCTATGGCCACAAGCTCTGTATTGTGACCAAAAGCATGATATTGGTATGTGGAAGAAATGAGCTTCCACTGAATGAGGTTTGGGTTCTGCCTTAGAGATGTCATGAGGAGGTTAGTCATTTGAGGGGGGCTGAGGGTAGACCTCTCTCCTCCACATTGAAAGGAACCAGCTGAGGTTCCATCTTACTAGGATGCCTCCTGGGGCCTCCTAGGTGGGGTGTTTCAAGACCATAGGGTAGACCCAGGACACTCTAGCCTGTGAATGCCCCTGTGTTTCCCCAGATGAACTAGACGAGGTGGCTGGGGAGAATGAGACCTCGGCTTGTCTACTTGCTGTCCCCGTGACACGTAACACGAGCATAGACATACACGTTTTGAGTAGCTGCATGTCTTTTATCAGTTCAGAAACGTTCTACCTGCGTTCCCTGATCATTGCTCTGCATCTCTGCTGGTATGTGGTTTCAAAATGACAAAGCAAGCTGTATTGTTTGAAAAAAGAGATGTCTTGTGGAAAAAAGATATCTCAAGATAAGCTTACATGCAGTAATCACACGCTTTAGTTCATGTTTTCTGAAGAGACGACTAACCCTTAGGTTTTACCTTGATAGTAGAAGAACGAGGTAAAAGACTGGCCTTAGTTAGCTGTTAGTGGCCACTGTATCTCTAACATGTAACTTGTTGTTTGTCCAAATAAAAATAACTTTATTGTATAATTACTTTATGCTTCTATGCTTGTCAAATAAAGAAGACAGGATATAAGGCTGCTCAAGATTTAGATCAGCTCAGAGGCACTTTTGACAGAACTGGTAGTTAGTTAATAAGTAATGTAATTTATAACTTCTTTAATAATCATTGTAGTCATGCTGTTATTAAATTCACGGGATAAAAATATGGGTTATTGAATCAAATATTTCCAAGGACATTGCTTAACACTGTCAGCAAGTACCTTGCATAACAATGCAATGGATACAATACGGATAGTCTGAAAGATATTTAATAAAGCCTGAAGAGCTAAATAATTTTAGAAGCAAAGGAAGTCAGTATCAGATTGACTTTGGCACTACCAGAAGTGGTGGCATGATAAAAAAAGAGGTGAAGACGGAGGGTAAAGAAGCCCATAGGGTGAGGTTGACATGAGAATGAAAGAAGGGTCTTGGAGGAGAAATCGTGGCAAGCGAGGGATGCATCCCGATAAATAATCATGAGATATGTGGTTAGAGGGCAGCGAGTGCTTGAAAGAACTGGGTAAGAGTGACAAGGGGGCAGATGACAGAGTAAAGGGTTGTCAGGTGTTAAGAGTAGGAAAGAAAACAAGAAGAATGTATTACAGGTAGAGTGAGGGAAAAAATGTGTAGTAGGAGTTGAAGTGCAGAAGCAGGCAGACAAAATGCATTGGTCACGAGACTGGGAAGGCAGAGCAGATGGGAGGTACAAGGATTACAGACCCCCAAATCTTTGTGTGTGTGTGTGTCTGGCAGGGTTTCATGGCTCTTGCCACCCTGGCCAGATTACAATCCTGACTCATCTGGGATCTAATCCCTCAGGAAGTCTAATTAAACCACCTTCTTGGTTCAGCATAGATGCATATACACAGTTTCTCCCTTTCCACACTGATGTTTTAAAACAAAATCTCCAGTTTTTCCTCTCTTGCAACAGCAAACTTGCACTCTTACTCTGAGTAATCCCTTACAAAGATAACACACAAATAATCAGGCTATCAAGCTAAATGAAAAGACATTGTCTGCCTTAATCTCCCCGCCTAGTAACAGACAGACAGTGAGTGTACCCTTCGCCACAAGGAAGTGACATATAATTAGTAATTAATGCTTAACAGGCAGTTAACAGGGCCAGGGAGCAAGCGCGAGGGTGACAAGGGTACTGTAATGTGTGTGTGACTGTGTGTGTGTCTATGGGTGTGCAGTCCAGCATGAGATGAGGGTCATAGTCCAGTGCTGCCTGAAGTCCCATCCCTCACTGTCACATACACACACGCATACACAGTGTCCCCAACCAGCCGTTACAAAGCTTTAGTGGGGCTATAGCCAATACACTTCTCAGCCAGTCCTAACTGTGGGATTTCACTAAATTCATCACACTGACACACACAAAAACACACATGCACACACTTTAGCTGCAATGGGCTTTACTAGGGAGCTTTAGCGGACCCAATGCCCACAGACAGACAGACAATCTAGGGGAGGGTTTAAGAGCTTAGGCCCCAATACCCTTCTAGAAAGTGCCCAAAGGGCTGCCAACACTCTAGAAAAAGGCTTCATTTCAAGGTCGGATCTTAAAATTGTTGACTGCTGATTGGGTTTGGGTAACCTCACACACAGTGCATACCATGTCCACATTTAGACAGAATTTTTTTGTATCCCCTTACACACTTCCAATATCCTATCAGGCACAGTCTAAAGCGCCTCTTCTCTTTGTCCTTCATGCAATAAAATATGGATCAAGTTTTTATCCATCTGTCAAACGGTAAATGTTGGGTGAAACCACTCTTCTGCTTTTCATCAAAGTCAGAAGAACACTGCTACGTTCACGTGTCCTTACATAACAAGAAATATATTACGTGGTTTAATATTGTACATTTACACGTGTAATAGAAGATAAATATGGCTTACAGCTCATATTTCAAGTCCATTTCCCAATATTTTCAATAATAAGTATTGATATTTAGATTTCTGAGCACAGTACCAAGAACGTACAACAAATACAAAGATAAGTCTATGCAATATAGTAATTTCACAGACACAAAAAAGATGGCTGAAATTAAAAGTACTTGATAATTGCACTCAGTTTCTGAAGTAGAATCCTGGAAATGAAGGATCACAGTGAGAAATTATATAGAAAGAGACGAATGTGAAAAAAGTATTAGACAAAAACAATGAATCTGTTGTAGCTTTCTGGTTAAGAGTGCCCAAGGTCTCGCTGATTTTCTTCTTCCTTTAGAACCAGTAATGTTGGTTAAGCACACATGTTCTCCCTTCTGTGATAATTGCTTTATACTCACACATTTGGGAGCTGCCCAGGAAAACCTGTTTTCTGTTGTGAAAAGCTCCACTGGAGCAGGTAGAAGTTATTCAAGGATGTTTCCACAATAGCAATTAAGAAGGAGATTTTTCTTTAAACGAAAGTGGATAGTAATTACTTGGAAAATAAACAGTAATATATTTCAGAGACGCTCTCTGTTGGATAGTCACAGATCACCTACTGCACCCAATTTACCTCTATAGCCCATAAATGGCAAAAAGGTTTTGGTAGCACTCCTTATCACTTCATTGTTGACATTGTTGACAGCTAACACTTTCTCTGAACCTTCAACAAATCAAAATTTAAGTTTACTCTGATAGATTTTTTCACATATTTTTGTTCTTTGAAACATTAAAAGAAAACCAGTAAACAAACAAATACATTTAACTCTAGTGTTACTGAGGCGCAGTAACTTCAGCTCTTTTGCAGTTCTTTAGGGTTTCTTCTTGTTCAATTCCAGCTCGTTCTATATTTAGCTGGTGGGATTTAATTATGATCTATAATTAATGGTCTGGGTAAATGTGTAAAACAGAGTTCTGCTAACAGATTGGCAGAGATAAAGTCAAGCCTTACAAATCTTTAACAATATTAGAAATGAAATGTCATTCTTGTAGCAGCAGCTCAAAACAATTCCACAAAACTGTGTTAGACACGATTCAATTTTGCTAAATTTTCTATTTGTAAGGATTGATACTGAACTCTGCAAACTCCTGCACGCCCTTGTCAGTCAAACGATGTTTGCGTACCCTTAAACGAATTTGTCAAAACCCTTTGCTTTGTCGAGGCAAACAATTTATAATTTATGATTACTTCATCTGGAATTCATTTTAAAAATTATGGAAAAATCTCTCTCTTATGACAGCCTGCAACACTTTCACAAGTAGCGCCTGAAACCAGATGGCAAACAGAACTTTTACATATCTTGTGAAAAGTAAAGCTAAATTCATTTGTCATGAATGTGTTATCTTCGTAATGTGTCCTGGTAAATAATGTGGAAAGCAAGACAAAAGCAGCACATTCTTAATGTAAAGCGCACCAATGCCAAGCTGTTTACCACACATACATATACAAATAGACTTACAGAGGATTCCCAGTGACAGAGCAGGTGAGGGTGAGCGAGTCGCCCTCTCGCAAAATGCCAGCAGGAGGAACAATTCGAACTGTAGGTGCAACTGTAGAAAAGCAGAAAGGAGGAGGGTGACATGAGTAAGCATTTCAGAGAAAAAAACAGAAAAAACATTTCTCGATCCGAATGATGCAAGAATCAGACAGGAACAGGAAAAAAAATCAAGAAAGAAAAAAGAATCCGAAACAAAAGACAGGTAACAGAAAGGGAAAAGTTAGAACATGGAAGGAAAATTGTCTTTGACATCTGTTTCCAAGGCAACCGTGCGACAATCCTATGGTTTAGACACCTGTTATCATAAGCAGCCCACCGCTCCAGCAGCTGCTGTAGTGCACTTGCTTCAGTAACAGAACAATCAGGAGCCAAATCCACACCCGCGGTTGGTCATTATTGCCAGTTTTCTGGCTGGAGGAGCATCCAGGCAGAGATGTTAATGTTTGTTGATAGCTCACCAGTCTGATCTATCAACAAACATTAATATAGAAGTGGCAAATTAATTGAACTCACAAGGCCGATGTAAACATATTCGCTAAATATGAATCATCCACATCTATAAATATTTACATATGCCTGGGAAATGTTTGACTATTCAAAATGATATATTGTTGGATCAAGCAATCACATCAAGCTGTCAGGAACAGTGAAGATAGAACTAATGGAGTTACTGAATATGGTTGACTGCTGAAATTCATCAGATTAATATTGGGGGAGAAGAGAGACTACACTGTATGCACTTTTATCTTGTATTCTCATCACAGTTTATCTGCTATAATAATGCCTTTTATCAATTGCTGCCCACAAGAAAATTCCAGTATGGAAGGAAATAGGGATCCACATGAAAAAAACTAAACAAAATGAACTTTGCACAATCTTTGTTTTTCTAAAAAAATATATAAAATTAAATAAAAATGTGCCACGATTTCTGTGCTGGAACATGTTTTTTGTTTTGTTCTGTCCCTGTGTAGTATTTTCTGTGTCTTGTCACCTGTCTTATTAGCCTTTTCCCTGGTGTGTATAGCTTGTGCGTTTTCCCCACAGACTTTGTTATGTTGTTGTTCCCTTTTCCTGACCCCTGAAATACATGTGGTACATGTCTTTGATGTCTTGCCTCTGACACACTTTTGCTCCATTATCACAAGACTTCAAGGCGCACCAGTAGCATTTCAGAAATGGAGCGTTTAGTCTGCATGGGTTCTTATATTCTGAAAACTGACCAGATTCTCTATGCCGTCCCCATGTCTAACTTCCTGCCCTCCTCATCTGCTCTGCGCTGCTTGACGTGACTTCCATGAAAAAGTAGAAATTCTGAGGGGAGAGTAATTTTGGGAATTTTTCCAAAGTGTACTCTGGTGGGATCGGAAGCATTGTCTTTTGCCTGAGTGACTGCAATCAGCTCCGGTGGTTAGGTTAACAGAACCACATCCTGTATATTTGAGTGTCCCTTGTTTCGGTCCTGCTAGCACGCTGCTTTTGATTAGTCTCTGTCACTTCTGGATTTTGTTACTGAGACGCATTTCCCTGTATTTTCCAAAAAGTGCCTTCTTTTTTTCTAAATTTTAATCTTCCAGTCCATTTCAGTTTTTGGCTTCACTTAGGCAGCATGCAAACACAGTAGTACAAATTAATATCTTCAAATCAAAAACACTGAGCTGAAAGCAAATATTTGTTCCTCCTCACATCAAAAACAAACATCAAAAACTTGACAAGCTTACATCTGATTTTCTCATTTTATACACTGATTCTACTGAAACAGACTTCAAAAAGAACAAAAACCCCCCAAACAAATGCTGACAATTTAGTGTGGCATAAAATATATAATACAAAAACCCAGGGAGTTATCTCTTTCAGTAGTTTTCCCGCTTTGCCTCCTCTAAGAGGACATTACAATTTAGTGCACACAAACTTGTGCAAAGACACCAGCAACAAAAAGACAAAGTCAACGTAGGGCAGGGATTGTTTCACATACTAATATACTCCACATTTCTTTCACTTGATGTTGTTTAGCTGTTTAAACAACAGGCCAGTAGCCTAACCTGGCCGTGTTCCTATCTCTGGCAGCTCCCTGCATGACAAGATTTGTATGTATTAGGTTTTAATGAGTGCAGGTCTCATACAGGGCAGTTCTGAATATCACTGTTAAAATCCTGGACGGTGTATAAAAGAGGATCATTCTAAAATGAGATATCACCGTTTGAAAAATGAGGCTGCTAACCTGACAAAATTATTGCTGGCATTAAAGTAAAACACTATAATGAAGAGGCCTGAAGTAGCAATTTCAGTGACAGCAATACAGATGAAATAATGTTTGTTTTGAAATATTTGGCAATGAACATTATGTTACTTAATTTGTCTGAAAGATGGATAGAAATTGTTTGGAGGCATACACACACACACAAAAGAAGAGAAGGGGCTTACAATAGACATCCAGGCGATAATGCCGAATCCTCTTCTGCCCATTAAGTGCAGGGTGGAATGCCTCACAACTCAGAGCTGCCCCATCGTCTTTCCTTTCTACCGGGATGCGGATGGTGCTGGACACACTGAATGTCTTCCCATTGTCCTGCAGGGATACCACACCTGGAGACAGGCAGGGGAAGCAGGGGGGATTGAAATAATGGAAGTAAATAATACCGGTGAGGTGGCCAAGAAACATTTTAGCAGCCAAAATATGCCTGTTCTTACTTTCTCCCTGCTGAGACATCACACCTATGTTAGGGGAATGTGAGCTGCAGGGAGAAGGCGAGATGGAGGAGAAGAAGGGATTTCACTTTCTTTTTTTTTGATGAGAAACCAAAGAGGATAGAAAAACTGAGCAGAAAGAGAGTAAGAAGTGAGGGATTGATGAATGAGCTTTTTAGAGCATCACCAGGTACCTGTAAAGGGGAGGATGAGTGGTGAGGGAGCAAAGAAGAGATAGAGAGAATAGAAAGCAATTTGCATCTATATTTCATGGCAATTATGAGCAGCAGCACAGTTTGTTTTCCGATAGTAAATCAACTGAATGTTTTGTCTGTGTGCGAGCGAAAGAAAGAGAAAGAGAGATAGAGGAGAGAGAAGGATAAAAGAGAAAATATGCATAACCCAATTGAGATTTTAACTGAGCCAGACATGGAGAGAGAGAAGGACGTCAAAGGAACAGGGTGAGAGAATAAAAGGAAAGGAGAGAGGGACGCAGAGAGAGAGAACGAGGGCAGCAAAACAAGCATGATTGATGCGTGTGTGTGTGTCTGTGTGTGTGTGAGAGGGGTGGGGTGGTGGGGGCAGACATGAAAGAGGATGATAACAGCGCGAGGCAGATGCAGAGTGGAAGAAAGATGCAAGAAGAGAGGAGGAGGAGAGACAGACGGAGGGAGGAGGAATAGTGGCAGCAAACTAACGGGACTTGACATGGTCACGTATTGGGAGTTTGTGCTTGTTTAGGCAGAATACAATATACTTATATTGCACTGAATTTTCAATTATTGCTGGCAAGAAAATGAAAGTGAGCTTAATCGAGGCCTGAGAGGATGCCAGCGTGTGCAGATGAGCAAGAATAAGGGTGCGGCGGGAAGATAGCGTCTTAATTAAAGAGTACTTCTGATATCTGTTGGGATCTGCTTCTAACCTTTGGTGTCACAGTTCGTTTAACTCAGGGCCAAAAGAGATGGGTGGAAGAGAGGAGGCGAGAGAAAAGAAGGGAAGAGAAGAGAGGAGAGAGAAGCATTAGGAAACAAGATAAGACAACTGAGGTAAAAGGACAGTCCCTGTCTGTCTCTTGGACTCTTAAAGTGTTGTGTAGCCAACAACTACGCCGAGGAGCCTCACGTCTTTGTCAGCAGTGAAACTTACAGGAAAAAAGAGACTGCTTTAAAAGAAGGTGAAGAAGTTAAGCATAAGGACATGGAGAAAAAACACAGAATGACGGTGACAGGTGCGTTCTGACAGAGAAAAAGAGAAGAGACTGGATGAAAGAGACACCCGGTGTCAGACAAAAATAGAAGGTAAAAGAGATGACAGCTGACATGAAGTTTAAAAGGGCAAAACGCTGCTCGGTGCATGTCCAATAAGCTGCTGACAGCAGATTATCGCGCTTTATTTAATCTGGTCCGTGCAGAGCTATCTGAAGTTACAGATAAATGAATGAATGAATAACAATACAAAACACATCTGACACCAGTTTGTACTTTTGAACAATACCGTCTGTATTTATTAAAAACTGGAGATAAAACCGAATAAAAATAATAACAATGAGCCTCAGTCAGAAATGCTTTGCATGACTTAGTCCCCAAGAGTTGTTTTGTTGTTGCTCAGTCAACTAATAAAGTTTTTGAGCAATTTAAATCAAACACAAATGCTGATTTAACAGAAAATTAATAAAAAAAAATGGGTGGGTGTAAAAACAAACAAAAATGATTTCTCAGGGGTTAAATAGGTTGAAGGGCCATGGAAAGATATTTCCCAGATGTATTATTGAGCGAAGTGCTCCTTTAACTGAGGGAACCCAAAGGAGACAGAGAGTTAGAGACGAAGGATAGATCAGGGTATCTGACTGATGGATGGCTCATAGATTTATCAGCAGCAAAGAAGTAGGGAAAGTCAGAAGATGTTGAATTAAAAACTGTCTTCATGAAGCTGTAAAAGAGATAGCATGGGAAAAGAAGAAAATCAGGAGTGCGCGAGGCTTCTGGCAGTTTAATATAATAGTGTGCTTGTCAGATTACGTGCAAATAAATTCAACTGAAATTAATTTTCATGAGAGATTAGCTTGAGAGAACGGACAAAGTCTATGTATAGGTTTTCAGAATGAAAAGATGTTCACTGTAGTGGACACGGAGAGGCAAAAGTGTTACATTATTTAGCTGATGTTGATTTAATGAACACAGATTTACTTCTTCAATTAACTTGAAATAGAAGGAATACTACTGTTCCAGTCTCAAAAGAAGTGCTGTTAATCAGTTGGAACTTTAGTGTTGCCTATAAATATTGCACAAAAAAAGTGGATCAAGATGTAGAAAGTGGTTTGGAGAGAAAAAAACATGGCAGCCCCACAGCCCAGATGCACATTTCCCTGCTCACTTATCATTCATCTATTTTTTTACCTGCTTCTATCAACACATCCATCTGCTAGTCCCCAATCAACCGATCAATCACTCATTCTTTTATTCAGCACTCAATCTGTGATATCACCCAACCATTCTACTTCACCTGCCCTTTATTACCCAATTAACTCCCTCATTTATCTCAAACAATCATTTGAGCATTCATCAGTCCATCTGTCAGCCATGTACCTGCTATCTCCCGTCCTTTACGCATCCATCGCAGGGTGGCGGCCGGCTTGCTGCGTGGTGACACACAGGTGAGTTCCGCCTCGCCGCCCTCCACAGCCTCCTGCTTCACCTCCACTGTGGGTGTCTCTGGGGGAACCAAGACCGAGAGTGTCGCCACCTGGTGGTGCGTGGAATCCGTGTAGAGCTGGCAGAAGTATCCGCCCTCATCGGACACGCTAACGTTGGTCAGTGTGATGCGAACCAGCCGTTGCGTGAAGAGCACCATCTGGAAACGGTCGTCCTTCAAGGCTGGAATTGGGCAAAGACAAAGAAGAGAGTAGGAGAGGGAAGAGGGTGGCGCGGAAGTGAAACCGCATGAGTTGGCATTGTTGAGGATACGGAGAAGAGGACCGTGAAAAGGTGGGAAAGAAAGGGAGGGGTGATGAAAATGACATGGAACAAAAATATGGAATTGGTGTGGAACTCAAGAACAAGATGATGGGTGGTGAGTTCAATAGTCAGCAAACAAATATAAAAAAAAAGACAGTTACAATTTATAATGAAATAAGAAACAAAGCTACTTTTGGCTGCTCCCTTAGTCATGTGGGATCACCACAACAGGAAGCGCTGCAGGTTTTCTTTGGCAGGTTTTCTTCTTGACACAAAGGGATTTGTGTCTCCTCCCAAGTCAGGCAGAATCAGGCAATCTTACGCTTGTTAAGCAAATGTGCAATCCACTACACTAATATGGAGCCACTGCTAGTTATAATGTAAAGCATTTATTTGAAATCTAACCACTGTGTCATTATTAATTAAACCCAAAAAACGTATGTAGATCTTTTTACATTTACGCAGACACACAAGCTATGACTGCTAAGGATGCCATATTTTACAAATTTTCTGTTTTCATACATTTTACTTGGCAGGCTTTCATCTTGGTAAATCTGTCAATTTTACATTTTTAAAAGCATATCAGGAAGCTGACATCTAGTCCCCACGAAAGGTAATTTATTCTGCAGGATGCAAATTCTCCACAAGAGGGAGCTAATCAGTTGGTGACAAGGTAGTCCCAACTGGTCAGTTATTAGGATCCTGTATTCTACTTTGATTGGCTACTTTGTTGTGATCGGGACAGCTGATAAAACCTGAAAAGACATTTGACTTCTGAAAGGTTGCGCAACAGGTAAAAGAGCTCGGTGTAGACTTGGCTAAATCAATAAACGGGTCTGGTGATGGGTAGCTTAAATGGCCACAATCTGGCCACAATCAACCTTCCAAAGCTATTAAATATCTAAATGAAAGAGATTTAGATAATTGGCTGCTTGAAAGGAAACACTAGATCAATGAAAAGCTCCATACTTTCTTCATTCGGTGTGTATAAACAATTTTGCCTAATATCTTGAAAAACACAAAAAACCTCTTCATACACTAAATATGGTAAAATCGTAACTTGAAAAATAAGCAACCAAAGGTGTCAGGGAGATGTGGTGAAGCAAAAAGCACTGTGATTGTCTGTGAAATATACTGGGTAGAGTATAAAAACAAGTTAAAAAGAAAACTCACTAAAAGACTACAGACAAACTTGGAGTCGGCTGGACTTTTATTCAGCAAAATGCAGGTTTTTGCAATGAGAACCAGACTGAATGAAATTGCAACATAAACTGCGCTTAAAGCGAAAGAATTCTTTTGACAGGACTTTTGTGCAGTGACAGTGCTTTTGAGGATCTTCGCCTCGTCTGCTTCTGTACGCCTCAGGTGGTCAGGCAAGTGTTCAGTCAGACATGGCGAACAACATAACAACCTGCTTATTTGCGTCAGTCTTAGCTAACCTTGATGCAAGTTTTGGGGTAACTTTCTGTTATTTTTTGGAGGGAGGGGTCAGCACAGATAAAGGACATTACTTTTGCTCAAGAAATAACCATCAGTTCAGGAACTCAACACGTATCTTCTATGTGGGCAGAGATTCAGAGGTCTTGAGACAGGCTAGGATGAACCTGTACAGCAATGCAAAATAAAAGCAATTAGGACGAGTAGTTGGAGGGCCATTGAGGCAGCCTGTTACTAACCAAGCAAGAACAGGTTGCTGGAACTGCATGTATTTTTATTACAGCTAAGATTAAAATTATATGTCCAAAGTTACAGGTTGGGGTGGACTTCTGATATGACTCTAGTTGAATCAAATTGGCCAAGTCTGGTTGAAAGTACTTTGCAAATAACAGGATTTGCTTTTTTTGGTGCATCTTTGAAAATTCAGTGCATTTACATTTTGTTTGCAGTATTTTGAAAGTATCTGTCAAACAGCACAAGAGAAATAAAGGCTGCTTCAATAGAGGTACATGACATTTTGATCATTGGAATCAGTTGCTTCGTGGCCTCATGATAGTTTGCGCTGTAACAGCAAACAGTCAGTTATATCTCACCAACTCTGAAACAAGAGTCTTCCCCCTCTGTTTGCGATGTCACTCCCATGAACAGCTTTGCAGAGGAAAAAAAATGACAAAACATGGGAGAAACTGTGGCTGCGACAGCACCCCTGTTGATTTGCCGCTCGGGAATTGATAGTGCTGTTAAATCCAAAGCTTGGTTTGATATAGAAAAGTTCATAAACAGTTTTGCAAAGTCAGTCTCGGTGGAGCAGCTCCAGGCTGCACATTGATACAACATAACAGATGTCTTGGTTCACTCATTTCCAGCTTAGAGGGAGAGTGTCGTTCATTTCCCCAAGCAATGATTGGACTTTGGTTAACTAGAATGCATTCATTCGCTCTCTTTGTAAGTGCATGCTTTTTCCTCTCTAAGCCCATGCTTAATTAGCATCTGGCATTTTTATTGTTTGTCTTATTAGATTTTAATCATTATTGTTTTTACTTTCTCTGAAGAACTGAAACACGCTATTTATTTCATTTTTGGAAAGATATTAAATTCAGAGGCACAAACTTTTGAGTCAGAGATACGTGCTGAATACTACAGTTGTGTATAACATACTGTGTAGGTCAAACAATAGAAAATAACAAAAGGCATTAAAGGCAACAATTTTGAAGCCAATCCCGAATCTCAGACCAATAAGCTACAATTACTAACCATATAATCCAAAAAGGAGAAAAATAAGAAAGGACAGTGACATGAGGGATGAGGAGTAATGAAGATGTAACAACTTTTCCTTTGTTAGCAAAGAAAGAGTACAATCAATAGGGAGAAAAATGCTGATAATGACAAATAACACCAATAACAGTCTGTGGTTGACAGTAGTTTCATGTCCATAGATTCTCATAAATACCTTTGAGACTCACTTTGTATTGACTTGGCTGTGAAACCTCCCTCATGCTCCATCTCTATTTTATTCTGTCCCTCTCTTCTTTCCTTTGTGTTGGATTTGGCCTGGCCATCTCGCAGGACAATTTACAACACAGAACAGACACTACGGTATAGATATTAGCTTTGCGGGAGTGTGTGCATGCTTGTGTGTGTGAGCGAGAGTGAGCAAATAGGGATATAGAAAAGCGAGAAAAATAGACTACATAATGCAGCAGGCAGGGAAAAATAATATAAAGACAGAAATCCACAGGAGACTAAGAGAGCAGCCTGGGGCAATGGAGTTAGTCCACTTTTCTTGGAGGTACACCACACTAATCTGTCCACCCCACCCCTAAAATTTCCCCTCCATCGGATGGCAATGAGAGCATTGTTAGAGAGCCATTCCCTGCAGACAGGTAAATCTTTTTCCCCCTCTCTGCACTAAATGGCAACTAAATGTCAGACTTCTGTTCAAGTCCAAGTTCACCATGATTGTCCTATCTCATTTGCATGCTGAGGAGAGTTGGCAATAAGATGAGAAAGAGAGATATGGACCACTACGGAGAAAGGGTCCATTTAGTTAGTTCTACTGCTCTATTATAGCTCTCTGTCCCCACAATCTCATAAAAAACACCCCTGACTACTTGCTCACTAGCAAAACAGGCAGTCTAATTCACTGCACTTAGTGCAGCAGCTCTGTTTGGGCAGCTAGTGTGGAATACATCAGCAGAGAAAGGTCTTAGTTTCTTAGCCTGTAATCTGGGTGGCAGATGGGCAATAGAGTGGAAGTGATGGAAGAAATGGTGGAGGTGGCGAGAGCCAGAGTGAGGTGCAATTTACACTCCCAGAAAATGTCCACAATGAGGCTTTTTTTGTTCTTACAGGAGCCAAATTAGTTATGGGAAGCCATCAATGCTTTATAGCTTTGCTAGACTTTGGAGCACTTCCTAATGCGGTGTCTTTCTTCAGCAACTGATCCTCCCTTTCCTTATTCTCTCTGTGGCTGTGTTTTTCTTAACCCTCAGCACCTTTTCTCATTTCCCTCACTCTTTTCTTTCTTTCTCATTTTCTCTTTCATTTGAGTCTTCAAACCGCTTCTTCTTCCTCGTTTTGATTAGGCCTCATCATGCTTTCCAAAGGGTGCAAGTCCAAGCCTCGTGGGAGAGCAGACGGAGCGACTCTGTTTAAATACTTAATGGAACTTACCGGCAGCGTGCTGATCTGATAGAATTGGGGGGAGAAGGTTTCCCAAAGCAGCAACCTCAACTACCCAATTACGTCCGCTCCGTGATCGAGGTGACTAACAAGTGAAGGCTAAGTGTATGGAACAAAAGCACTGGAGTGCTGCACCTGTGAACAGTGAACGCCTGCAACTGATTTTTGTTTTTACTGATTTTTCTCTCATCTTTGCATTCTGTTCAGAAAACTTTCATTGACTGCTATTTTGCAGACTGTTCCTGTGGGGAGTGTGGGAGTGTTGATTGTCGGATCAATGTAATTACAAGAACTGCAGGTTTTAATGATTAGAAAGTTGAAAATGTGTTCAAGTGCAAATTTTCACATATATAAATATCACACTAGATGACTGCAATTACAACTTTGAGGTATAAGAGTCTCCTTTTTACTGTGGTCAAAAGCAAAGGGTTTTAAAAAGTCTGAGCATTGCACCTTGTACCACCTCACCAAGAAAATCAGCTCTTGATCTATTGACCGTTCATTATTTTGACATTAAGCTCCTTTTAGCATTTTACAATTTCTACCTACTTACTGCACACTGAAAAACAAACTATTAAACCTTTAAAGCTGCGTGAAACTGCCAGTGGCATTAAAATAACTATTAGGACCTTAGACTGTCTAATGCACAAACACAATGTTTTGTAAAAGTCAAATTTTAAGATGCTCAGATAAGAATTCAGAATTATTGCCTTAGCAAGAGTTGCAGATTGGAATTAAAATGCTAATGTGTATGATACTCAGGCGCTCAGAAACAGTCATCAAGAGCAGCTTGAATGAAGTTAGCTCAGCAAACAGATTATCTGTCTTATCACCTGTCACGCAATTACAGCAGCGAAAAAATCCTTTTCCAAATAACAAGTAATCAAAACATATTTCTTGGAGTAGCTAGGCACTATAGAGACGAGTGTTCTGCCACTTGAAGGAAAGAATTGGATCTTGGTATGTAGATCTTCAATAAAGTAGACACTGTTGAGAAGTTTTCACAATAGAAAGCTCCTTGGATGAAAGATGAGCAAGTGATTTTGCTGGGGGATTTGGGGTTTTCTAGTTGGCTGCTCTTCCAAACAGATAGAGATGATTTTTACGCTTGTTGCAGACTGTGCTTTTGATGTGATTTTGGCGGGGGCGGCGGTGGTGGCAGTGTGGAGACTCCTGTGCATAATAATATCATGTATGCTCAAAACCAAGCAACTGTGAACACAATTGTGCTGGCCCTTCGTTACAGAGAGATTGCAGCAGCTAGCTGATTAGCTGGTTAATAGGATTTTGTTTTCAAAGTTTGTTTGGTTTTAATATTAAATCCAGCTCACTAAATAAGGGAGTTAAACAGATATTTTCCTCTTTACTGATCAGTGTCTATATTTTTTGTGCTTGTTTTTTTTCTCCTTGAGAACTTGTTCGCGTTTGACTTGAAGGAAAAGGGGCTCAGCTCGGAGGAGACCAGGCTACTGGTGTCTTATATGCCTGAACTAAACACATACACCATCCTCCCCTTTACTGTGAACATTTACAAGCCACAGTATGAAACTGTAGCCTTAAGCCCAAACTAATGTCTTATCACATAGATTATGTAGTGCATAAATAACACATTTTTTGGTTCAATTAAGCTGCTACACACAAAATTCAAAGCAATGTTTAATATCCTTGATCGCTGTTCTTTTGCTCAGAGGTTTCCTAGCAGCATTTCTGCTGCAAATCTGGCTAAGGTAGCAACTTCTGCCCTTAATTAGTAAGAAAAAAAAACAGGTAGAGTTTGCCTGCCCCGAGGCCCTCAGTGAATTCTGCCTTCATTAAAATATTGGTTACAATGATAATTTGCCATAAAGCTGTATTTAAAAAAACATGTGATTGTCAAGGCCATGCTCTAATGAGGACTTTAATAAGTTCTGATCTCATCACTGGGGTTAACAGCGGATTATGCAGAAAGCTTCGAACTGTGCTTTTAAAACAGATAAGTAGTCACACTGTTAGGGCACACAGTAAACCCATCTCCTAATTTCACGTGGTGGTTAGCTGACTTTCTAATGTGAAATCACTTCAAAGGGAAAATGAGGACATTTGCGAGAAGAAAAATGTAAAATGAAAGTGTTGGTGAGTCACTGCTAATGTGTCTAAAAGGCTCGCTTTAAATGTCACCAAAGGCAAATACATAGACAAGGATAAATTAGGTTTGTCTGCAGAGACCAGCGTGCACGCAGATACACACCTCGCGTGCCGTTGAAGAAGAGAGTCTGGCGGCGGGGATTCTGGATGACCACGATTGATCCATCGTAGTTCTGCAGGCGGCAGGAGATCTGAGCCGTACCCCCCTCCAAGACTGTTACATTCTCTGCTTGCACTGCCTGACAATGGGCTGAGGGACAGAAAGAGAGACGTAAACATAGTGATACAGAGGTTGGACAATCCAGAAGAAAGAAGGGGAAAAGAAAAGAAAACAGATTGAGGGAATAGAGAGTTGTTCAATTCTCTTGAGGTTGAATCTTTTAAAATATAGTACTTAAAGGAGGATTCATTTGCTTGCTATTCATCACACAGACACAATAATGAAATAAATGTTGAAGAGGAGGGAAAAAAGAGAAAGAGATAAAGTGATAAAGCGATTGAGAGCAAAAGAGAAGCCACCGAAGGACTCAACAGGTAAAAGAAGGTTCTCGAGCACTGCATTCATACGATAATAAGATGGATGATTATAATTACTGCTATTCGTTTCTTTACATGCACAAACACACATACAACATCCACATTGCTTTGGGCTAGTCTAACAGAATGCATCAACAAACACATTTGAACAGATAACGCTTACATCTTTAAGTGGCTGTTTGTCTCTTGGGCTTTAGATACATGCTTGAATGGCCATGCATAAGCACAAACCTGGTGGCAGACAGCCAAACACATGTGCACACAACTTAAATTCATTCAAACAGATGACCACACTGCTGCCCTGTCACTACTTGTGTGTATATGAACAGTTTAAGTTGCAGCAGCATTATTGTACAAGTCTGTAATTGGCCAAAGTGCCGAGCTATGAAACCAGGATGGGAGCTTTAATTGGACTTCACACATTCTTAATGCCATTTCTCTACCAGGTGCATTCTAAACCCACTGATTACACTCCATTATCCAAATGAAATGGTTCTCATAGGGACACTTTCATGTACACGTGGTTGGAAAAGTACGCAATAACAAATGAGCACAGACACACAAGCACGTGTGCACGGAAAGTGACTTTCACAGTCCCAAAAACTGTCTTACATAGTCTTTCAAACAAACTTGTCTGGCTCCTCCAACTCAATATTTTTAGACAAGGGGGCTGAGAAATAGCAGGGAGCCTCTTTGATGTTGCTGACAGCTCAAGAGTCAGTAATGAGGAGGTTGATTATGCTCTGATTGTTGCACCCTCCATGTTTGTGGGTCAGGCTGTTGACACGACTCGGCTGAGTCACACCTCCCGCTGAGCACAATGGACACTGAGAGCCGTCGTTTGAATTCAAATGATTTGCAGAGCAATTAGTCATATGGTTCCAGCCAGGAGTGGAATGTGATTGCCTTGAAGAGAGTACCAGCTTGCTGGGCCTCCAAAACTAGTATTTACCAATTTGCATCTCCATTTGCATTCCCTCTCTCCCTGGCAATGTGTTGGCTGCGGGGAGGATTTAGAGGAAGAACGACACCAATATTGAAACACAGTGATGAAGCAGGCAATGAGAAGAACTGATAAAGACGGCAATGTTATATATATTTCACCGCTGTGTCTAGCAGTGTCTCTGAGCGTTGTAAAACACCTTCAGAAAGCAAGAAATGTTGTGAGACAAACAGACGGCAGCTGCTGTAGTAGGAGTTGCTGACTTGACTGCTTTGGGCCAAAATAAATGTCTATATCTGCAACAGAGTGTGTGTCCTGAGCAGGTTTTGCATGCATGTCTGTGTGTGCACTGGCTGTGCATATGCAGGTGTTAACATATTGCAATTAAGCTACTTTGACATCATCTGATCCCTGGAACTTCATCCAAATCTAATCCCCCTTTGATTATAATCTTTTTTAATGAAATACTCAAAGCCTACACATTCATCACGTCAGGGGAAACACAGAGACACAATGGATATTGAACTGAAGTCAGAAAGAAACCAAGGGGGAATAAAGACAAAGGAGACTCTAATACTTTATGGAATGGAGAAAAAAATCTTGACAATTACCACTAATTGTAGTCATTATTGCTCTCATTCTCTGCATCAATATTGTGATTCATATCGGGGGCCATCAGGGCCTGCCACTGCCATCCCAATTATTTTTCTAATGGCTGTTATTACTCATCACCATAGAAACTGGGCTTGGCCACCATTGTCTTAAACAGCTGTAATTGCAAAAGCGCTGCTGCGCATCCTGACAAAAACAGTGCCGGGTCTGCGCGTGACTAGTGACCCATCGGAACCAACAGAAAGCGTGCCCTTAAGAGCAAGACAGAAAGTGGTCAAAAGTTTGCTTCTGGGCTGAGGCCAGAGAAACTAATTAGCTGTCCATTTGTACACCCACTTCTCCTGACAGCTGTCACCTCTTCAAAGAAAATTAGCTGTGGTGGGATGGCGGTAAAGCACAAAGAAAAGTGGGAAAGAAAAATAAAAATTAAAACTCATTAGTGGCTTATGCATCAGTGATGACTGACATCCGCAGTTGCTTTCTGAGAGATGCCACCCAGAAACACCTGCTGCATGCTGGTGTATGATCAATCTCAGCAAAGAGAACGAAAGAGCAGAGGGATATAGAGATGGCGGGGAATGAGGGCTCTAACCAGGAAATGATAGCAGGGAGTTAGGAAGTGATGGTTCGGGTATAATAATGCAGCTGGTGGGGGCTGGACGAAATATGCGAGAGATGACGCATATTCTTCAACTCCCGCTCGTAACGCAGCTGGGTACAGCACTTTAGTTTGACTGTAGGTTTTATAGGCTGCCATTCACATCAAGGCCATGAGCCTGTGCCTCTGATCACCAGCATGGTACAATCCACAGAGGGAATGAGAAGGAGGGGGAGGGAATCAACCTCTGTGACAGAGGTATTAATCTCGGCCCCATTAAAATCTGTGCCCATAATAAAATACTCCACAAGCGTCGACTCGTATTAAGAGAGAATGGCGAGTGCAATCGATATCATGGTAGTGCACTGACGGTTATGGCAGTGGATAAATAAAACTGGATGGGGAGCAAAAACAATCACTTCTCTCTCCAACCAAGCGGGGGCAGTATTTTATAGCAGTGAAATTCCTATCATTTCCCATGCCACTGCCCCCGCTGTCACAGCCCTGGAAAAGAAAATAGAAGCCCTTATTTACTATGGCAGGAGACATCCAAGAAGGGCCATCATTTCAAAATACATAAACAAATAAATAAATAATAGGCAGGCAAATTCATAAGACAAGGGACCCGTCCTAATGGTCCCACAATAGGGTGAGTTATTAGCCAAGGGAGCCGGTGGGTAGTGGGACAGAGTGAGGGGATGAAAGGAGGTGTAGAGAGCTAAAAGAAGGGGATTTGGGAGGCAGCCAGGTGGACTGCTGGCTCACCCTTGGTCACGGTAAATTCTAGAAACTGTTTCACTGGTGCAGGGTTAGCAGGCAGAATTACGGCCTTGCTGCGTCTCTCTCACTTGGTATCACTCTCCCCTTAACTCACTCTCTCCATGTCTTTGAAGGTGGAGAAAGGTGAAGATTGAACAGAAAGACAAGCCACATAAGAGATGAACTGTCTCCATTTGCCCCAAACAAGCCCTCATGTATCCTTGAAGAAGTGCAGTCACTGTCTCCCTATTCATTATCTGTCATTATCTTTCAACTGGACGAGGGCCAAGTGCTTGTGTTTTCTTTGCATGCTGGTCACGGATTTACAAGGGAACTGGTGCTGTAGACTACAATGCATAACCCCTGATGTTGTTACTGCTTTAATTAAAACAATAACAGCAGCTCATAGTTTCCACTCATAAGGGCTCGTCCTTTGGCAACTTCTCCATCACTTCCCATCTGGATGTACATATTTTTATCTTGCGTTATCCCGTGAGTCTGTGAGGCAAGTCGGTTTCTACGGTATGTATGCAAATGAAGTGTGCAGTGTTTATATGCGTGAGTGTATATTTATGAGCATGTGTGTACGAACACTTGCTCTAGGTTAATCACAGAGTTTTGCAGCGTTCCGACTCTATGAAAAAGCTGACTTTGACGTTCTTCCACTCCAAACCTCCCACTGCAGACCCGCAATTCTCTCCCGTTCCCTCTCCCCTCTTTCTCTTCCCTGTCTAAAATTATCGCTTTATCTCACAGGGAGGCAGAACTCTGCCAATCAAATCCAGTTCCAAGAAAAAAAATTCTCCCTGTACATAAATAATACATAATCCTTTACAAATCTCGCTGTCGTCTCTCTCATTACCTTTGTTCAGTCCCTTTCTGAAGTCCTCTTTTCCCCTCCTAAGCTCACACTTTCTTCTCAGTTTTTGAGTGTACTACCCTGTCCCCGATTTTTTACTTCACCCACAGCTCATAATTCTCTCCTCCCGCTGCCTTCTTGTCTAATCTCATTCTCACATCTCCCTCTTTCCTCTTTTTATTTAAACCCAGAGTCTCTCCATCCATCTCCTCCCCACCTTTTGCCTTATCTAATCCCTGATTCTTCGTCATTCAGCGTTCCTTCTCCTTTCGGCCCATCTTCTTTCTCCTTCTCATCTCCCTTATCTTTTATTGCATCGTTCATCATGCATCTTCTTCATTAATGCTGTCCTAAAGGTCCCCTTTCCGCTTCTCTCCTGGGCCTCAGGAGAATTTTTGCAACTTTTTTCTCTTTAAATCTTCCCTGTTATCTCTGGTCTCTAAACTCTTTCTCCCTCTCTCTTTTTCTTTCTTCATGTAGTTTTTTTCCTGGCTTTGCAATAGTTTCATTCTGAACTCCAATATGCTTTCATTCCCCTTGCAATCTCTCTCATTCTTTCTCTTTTTGTGACTCAGTGGGAATCTTTTCCTGCCTCTCTGCTGGTTCCATCTCCACACTCTCCTTCCCTAAATGTGATTTGTTCTGCAGCTCAAGTCTGCAGCATAATCATGCTGTTTTTATAGTGTGCGGGGAGAGGGGAAGAGAAGGAGCAAGGGGAAGACAGAAAAAAGTGAGAGGAATGAATGGGACAAGAGGGCAAAACAAAAGTAAGTGGAGCAAGAGACCAAATGTTTCAGTTTCCCCTCTTTCATCTTCTCTACTTTCTCTTCTCTTAATTACTTGTCATATAGCTCAGCCCTGTCCCTCTATCCTACCCTCTTTTTTCTCTGTGTTTTTCTTAATCTCTCTCTCTTTCTCTCTCTCCAGCAGAAACTTTAGACCTCATTTCATCCATCAACCAATGGTGTACTATTAGAACTGCACTGCTAATCAGCAAATCAGCATAAAATTGTCTCTTTTCACTCTTGACCTCTCATTAGAAACATTTACTTTCATTTATTTACATATTTCAAATCCCGTTTTTAGCATTCTGATTTTGCTCCCTAGTCACACTGCCTCCATCCTCCATTGCACTGAAATCTTATTATTTTACTGCTCTCATCCCCCTTTTTTTCCTCACACCTCCTCTCCTCCTTTCAACACATTTCTCATTTTGACCTTTGCATCTTTAGGTCTCTCTAGCCCTTTAGCATATTTCAATCACCTCATCCCTGCCTTGTCCCATACCTTCTTCATTCCTCCCCCACTGAATTGTATCTGTCTGAGCCCTCTCTGCTCCCCTTGTCCACCCATCCCATTACTCTTTTTGCTCCCTTATTCACCTCCTCTTATGCTTCACAAATTACCATCTCTTTCTCTCTTTTCTTTCCCCTCCTTTTCCCCACATTTTCTGACAGCCAAAGCTGGTTAGCTCTATCTACTCTGCAGCGTTTTACGGCCCGAGTCTGTCACAGTCCCAACAACCCTGCAACAATGGCCACCGCACATACCCCAACAGCAGCTTAAAGGAAATTTACAAGGCTGTTACAACCACGGCAACTACACTGGAGATTCAACACAGCCAAAAGCACTGGTTTTAACACCCCTTCAAAATTTTCCTTTGGTGTGTGTATATTGTGAATATCATATGTGTGAAACTCATGGATGTGTATGTGTGGGAAATAGAATGCACTGATATGTGCATGTATTTAAAATCATGTGTGCGTACTCCTTTGAAACGGCGCATGCGAGAGAGTGTATGTGAATGCTCATTGAAGGCACAACTCGAAACTGCTTTGCTGGCTTGAAATTTAAACCCCGACTGCCAAAAGCTGACTGCCAACACAAAAACTCCTCCATATAGATTATTCCCCACTTGTTACCCCAACCCAAGACCCCCTCTACATTCCATCATAGTACCATCACTATTAATGTCACTTCAAAAGTAATAGAATTTTTAAATGAAGGGAGAAGGATATTGTTTACTAGTGAGTAGCAGGGAAACAACATCTCCTCTGCTTTAAATTCATAATAATAATGACAGGAGGTATTAATAGCACAGCAGCAACTCTACTGCTGATCTCACTCCACTTCATCTACTGCTCTGGTTTGTGTTCAATCAATCATCTCTTGGCTTCAAATCTCAATCTCATGCAACTCTTTTTGAGGTCTTTTAGTGTCTTGTTTCATCTCTGTACCATCCGCTCCATCTCTGTCTTTCTTCCATACACACACAGAGTGCACTGTTCTCCATCTCTGTCTTTCCATTTCACTTTTTCTGCCTCTGCGGCTCCCTGCCTCCCTCACATACAGTACAAGTGTCTGTCTGGCCAAATCGTGTTTTCCTTGTGTCAGTCTGGCTCTCTCTCAATATTTGTCTCTTGCACTTCACTCTTGCACCATTCTCTCATACTCTGTGGGTCTAACGTTCTCACATTAGGTTCTTGAACCACACTCTTGCTTTCTCTATGTTTCATTTGCTTTCCTTAAGTCCTCAAGTTATTCCCTAGTCTCTTCATCTCATGGGGATACATGCTTGTCTTCATTTTGTCTCTCTTTAACCTTAGATGCAATTACCAAACTTAAATTAGGCTGAGCAGCAACATAATCAAAAGTACTGAGAAACCCCGACCCGCAAGACCCAAAGGATCCAATGCTAACACCTACACGACACCTTCTCCATGTCCCAGTGGGTCAGAGTTGTTCTGGAAGCACAATGGGGTCGTACACAATATAGCTGCAATGTTGCATCTGATCAGTATAATTACCAGTACACTGAAAAATGATTTCATTGTGTGTTACTGTCCCTTGGTCAAATCTTGGAATTTTTAGTTTTTTGCACATTTGGACACCAAATACTTATGACTTATTCTTTTTATACAACATTTGGATGAATATCTGCAGGGAGTTAAAATGTAAATTACGCTGATGTATACTGTCTATACTAAGAGTGTTTACAAGTGAAAATGAAATGCTTGCTTCCTTGACTTGCTTAGTGAGTAGCAGTAGAAACAACTGTGCGCATTTCATTTAACCAGTATGTGGGTGTGAGTTCATGTGAATAAGTGCAGGACTTACGAGTGATGCAGAGCAGGACCAGAACTAGGCTGCGCAGAGCAAGAGAGTAAGGAGCAGGAAGGAGGCGGCAGAGGACAGAGCTTCGGACAGGCCTCATTGTGTATTGAGAACTTGTGTTTGTATGTATAAATGCGCGTGTGTGTGTGTGTGTGGCTGTGACTGTTTGATCAATGGCTCCTTTGTGACCCTGCCTGCACTGCTACTGACAAACCAGTCCACACACACACATATATGCACTTGGATTTGTTCTCAAAAACAATGCCAACAAATGCACATGCTAACTGTTGTTGTATGAGGACAAACTATGCTATACAGCATCCAAGCACATGCAAAGAAACTACCTTAGCAACAAAGCCACACAAGACTGACTTCTAGCCAGCGTTTGCACGCAACACACAAACGTTTTGCCAGAGCTCAGAGCAATTATAGAGCAAGCGATTTAGACACTATATCACAATGCACACAGAGAAAAGCTTACAGCAACAAAGTTCATTTGTTGACTATAGCTCCTTGTGTTCCTTAGACAGAATTTAGAATATGCATTGTTTTAATTCCATGTAATGCAGGAGATTTGCCACTGCAAAGTCCTACAGAGGCTCAGTTCAATTTAAAGAAAATGTAATTTTTTATTGTAGCGCTTTAAGTCTCCTGAGACCAAAGTCTGAGATTCTCAAAATCAATAAACTGAGAAAAACAATGCCAAACAGACCGTATACTAACAAGAGTATTCAGTAATGGCAGCTATGCAATTAACTGAATGAGGTACAGGTTAATTAATTCTTCAGCTGTATACTACAGCGTCACACTTGGAGCTTATAGCAGGGTCTGAGCAATAATGAGCCACACAGTTAACCACAACAACAAATAGGCAACCTGTCTCCATTGGGTCAAACCACACTTATTTAAGGGAAATAAACCATCAGTATTACAATATTTCAGTCAAATAAAGCACAAGAAACTGACATCCAAAGCAGGTCTGATTTTCTCTGCTGGTGTTGACAATATTACAACTTTCAAAATAGAACCATCTCCATTGCTATGCCCTTAAGGACAGAAGAATCTAGGGCAACAACGTTCATCCTCAAACAGATTGTATTTTAATGAGTTAGACAAGGTTTTCAGCACTTCTCACCCAACAAATCAGTAGGCAGAGAAGTCAATGTTCCTTAGAGCTAATACCAAACCATCCAGACCTCTTGAGAGACTGAGACACTATCTTACTGCAACTCATCTAGAGATAGCCAAGGTTAAATAAAATCCATTGAGCTCGAGTGCAGCGCTGAAAAGACAGAGTGAAAGTGCTTGCCCTGTGTAGAAGAACGAACTTGCAAAGCACTAAACAAAACTGTTGTAAGATGCTTTACATTCAGATGCTACATATTTTGGTATGCTATATTACCCCGGAGACTTGCACGTGATCCTCACAAGAATTCCACCATTATTCGCTTGGATGCTAGAACTTTGCAGATGAGCTATCATGTACACACTGCAGCGCAAATGGACAGAGATTTTACACGGTAATTTTAGACTTCTCTGAATAATCACAGGTTATCGGACAGTTTGATCATGCAGCATCGGCTTTCCTAACGCTTCCTTTCTAACGTGTTCCACTGGCTGCAGTCGGCGCCTGGGTGCACTCCAGTTACACTCTCGCTCAAACACACTGATCTCAAACCCTGCTGTGTTCAAGGTCCAGACACAGTTTCGCTGATTGTCAGGACCTGATGCCTTGTTGGTCTGTGTAAGTGTGTGGCTCTGGTGTGTTTGTGTGTGTGTAGTTGTGAGTGCTTTTAATGTGTGTGTGTTTGTAGTGTAGAGACAAAGCGCAGCGAGCTGCACCGCACACCTCACTGAGCACTATCTGATGGAATAAAGTGCGGGTGTCATCCTTAGATTACTACACACTGTCTGCTTTCTCTCTCACTCTCTGTGCTACTGCAAACACAATGAGCTCTAACGGCGATTGCTCTGACACTCCTGGCAAAGCTGAAAGCGGATCATCGCCAATCTTCCCTACAGCGCTGACTTCATTGGTCAACTGGCTGATGCTGAGAAAATTACTCTGTGTTGGTGTACACCAGCAGCTCGGGTCTGGCAGGTCTAAGGCCTTTCAGCACTCAGATGGAAACAAAGTCTATCCACTTGTTAAAACTGATCTCAAATCGTGCTTAGTTTATCCATTCTAGCGCCCGTTCTCTGTCCTCTTCTTTTAATCCTCTGGTCCGCAGAAGCTAGTTAGTTCCCACAACTTGTCCTCGTTTTGCTTCTTTCCTGTTGATCTATGAAAACTGTCATAATCCCAGCGTGCTATCACTGCTGATCAAATCCATCTGTCTGTTTTCTGTCGTTCACTTGCTTATATAAGCCTGGCCTCCCTCTCCTTGCTTAGACTCTGTGTGCGTGTGTCAGTGTGGGATCAGTGTCTGCATATTTGGCATACTATTTTGTGAAGGTTAGAGATGTCTGTGTGTGGATGGAAGCAGTGACAATGGATGCCTTTCAGGTCAACAAACAGTGGCAGTGTGTGTGCGTGTGTGAACTGTGCTTGACTGTTCAGTGTTGACTGAAGAAGAGTGTACATTTGGTTGACTGTTTAGCCCTTTCACTATCTACTAGCCATTAATTTATCCATGCAGCCACGAACAGAGGCATCATAGTGCCTCTTTATGTTAAATGGGCGTTTTTTATGGCTGCAGCGATGCACATGGCTGTCTGCTGACAAGAAGTGGGTACGTGTTTTTTGTCTTTGTAATTCAAACTGGATGCGGAGAAAGGAAAAATGAGCATGACTATGAGTATATATGAGTTACGCTGATGCGAGTTTGGCCCATCAAAAAGTATCGGCTCCATATTTTTATACTGATGAAACAGAAATCATTGCTAACAGCTAGACGAACCTGACAGTAAATTTTGTTTCACCACATTGTGTATAATGAAATTCCTTTGTTCAAGCTCATGTACTATCATTACTGCTATTGGCAATAAAACCTGCAATACAAAGCCAATAGTGGAAGCTAACTGCAGCAGACTCTGCGTCTTTGACATTCATTGTCCTGTAAAAAGCGAAAAGCAACACAGCTTTGCTTTTATAATAGCACCTCTACTTGTTCTTAATCAACTAATCATAAACTATCAGTCCTAATGTGCCACAAGCTGTATTTACAAACATCTTAATGCATTTAATTTGAAACACGCTGTTCCCTATCATCAAGTCAAATAAAGTCAAATTTATTTATCAAGAGCTTTTATCAAAATAGGGTCATGGCAATGTACTTTATAGATTAACTAAGGACATAATTACAGACAAAAAGAACACATTGCAAATCATACCCACAACTGGTGAGTATGTGCGTATTTGTTAGTCTGCAAAGTCCCTGTGTGGGCAACCCCCTGATGGGTGTATTTGTTTTTGTCGCAGTGTGTGCGGAAGGAATGGAAGTAATGGCAAATTGTGTCCCCTATCCCCCTTCCTCTTTTTTTCCCTTTTTCCCCCTCTCTCTCATCCAAATCAAATTTTTAATGGGCTTCATTGGTGCCACCGTGGAATAAGTGTTGCCAAAGCACTTAAGGGGCTTAAGTCAGCAGCGTGCTGAAAATATTAAGCACTCAAACAGCCTTACAACTGCCTGCTTAAGTATGCCGAGGAGGTCGTGCCAGCATTTAATACCAATGGTATTAAAGCTCTCCGACAAGGGAGAGGAACAGAAATATAGATATATACAGTATGTACCACACCTGGGAACAGATGCAGCCTCACCGGAAGAATGGGAAGAGACTGTGAAGGCATGAGATGGACAAGTCATGAGGAGACAAGAGGGACGTAAAAGAGGAAAGATTAGCAGTGAGGTGAAGAAAACTGAATTTAATGACAAAGCAGGAAGCAGGTGAGTGAAAAGAAGTGGTGAGAAAAGGGAGGGAGAGAAGGAGAGGAAATAAAAAAAAAATCAGTGTTGAGGAGGAGGGATGCAGGGGAATTGTGCCAAGGTGTGGGAGGTAAGGGTTGATGGGATAGCTGTGAACCAGCAGCAGAGGGCTAATGCAGAGATTCTATCGGGAGGCTTATCCGAGATTAAATTTCTCTTTGTCCTTAAGGCGCTTCTTGGGTAAGCGGAAGTGTCGAATTTATTTCTTATGTCTCCCTTGAGGTTGAGGCGAGTGGGTTTGGAACATATGAATGTATGTGTGCGCCTAAGCACGAGGTGGTGATGTCTTCGTAGAGGTGGAGCATATGTATATGTGTCTATGTAAGCATGAAATTTGTAGGTTTATTAACTGTCAAAGTGAGGAGGAGGAGGAGGAGGGGGTGTATTCCTGAAAGGTAAAATAAGTCAAATTAAGATTCAAGTAGGCTGTTAGTGTGGCAACAACACAGGCATGTGAATTTGTACGTTAAATTTGCATATTCAGAAACGTGTGAGTTTTCTTGCTTTATAGATTTTGTTTTATGAGCTGCTACAAAGCCCTACACTACGAGAAAGTCACAAAAACCAAATGTTATCTGAACTGTCCTGATTGAGTAATATCCTCTGGGTTTTATTCAGTGTACGCAAAAAAATGAAAAAGAAATAAAAAATCAATTTGCAGCTGCTGTTTGAGATACTACAAAATGAATAGGAATTTACAAGGAGAACATCAGAAATTCTAAATTGCAGGTCATGTATCTGTTTTAAAAAAAAAAAAGGGAAAAAAACCTATTTTGACCGAGCTCTGAGTACATTCATATCGGGCCTGACAAGCTCAATCAGCTTCTCCCTGGCCCTCTGCTCTCTTTCTCCTCTCATCTTTCTGATTTCTTGTTTGGTTGACTTGGTGTTAATAGCTACCCTAGAGCCATGCACTAGCTAATCCAGCTGGGTTTGCTCTGAACTCTAATTAGAAAAGTCACAGCTCCTCAATCTATTTGACACTATCAGTGACTGCATTTTCTGGAGGCACAGCTCAGGTTACTTCCAGCTCACCTCACACTCCTGGGCAAAGGGATCAATATGGCCCGATCATTGGGGTGGCTTTCGAATGACACCAACAGCCTTTCTTTACACAATTTAGGATTAGAACGTTTTGATTTTCTTTATTTTCACTGTTTGTTGACATTGGGGGCTGGCGAATAAATACAAGTCAATGCTGCTCACAACACGACAGGCTCATAAGAATGCAAAACCGATACTGGGGCTTGAATCACTGGCTGTCTGAAATGACGTAGTTTGCATGGAAATAGGTTATGTGTAAAGACTGTGCATTTTAGTAGATATTTTCTACCTAAAATGGTAAATCTCTCTACTTTTAAAAGCATTTATAGAGGCAGTATTCCTTTGGAGCCAATTTCACTGATGTTTCTAAGCACATTTATAGAGGAAGTAGCCTATTCAGATACTTCCTACTTGACACATTTGTCTATTCCGAGTAAATAAATAAAACACTGCTTTGTCGTAGCTTTCTGCTTTGTGTATGTATACTTAACCCTGAGATTAAACTCACTTTATGGTCGATAACAGTACTGGCAGTTTCTTTTCACTGATTTTATGAGTTGAGGGAAAGACATAACAGGGCTGAGGTAGACATATATAGACATCCTATTGTTATTTCTAGTCCCATTAAGCATTTACAATGCATCAACCGCGCATAAAATTGGCAATTTTAGCATACTTTTTTTCCACCATGGCAAATTTTAAGCCACAACACTCTCAAGTGTCACACTGCAAGAAACGAAGATAAAGAATTGTGTTGATGGCCCGGTGCTATTGTAGTGGAACAAGCCAGCTGAATGTTTTATTAGAAATATGCAGTCTTTGGTTAATTCACTGCAATTTATCTCCACAAAAAACTCTGGGGAATCTTGCATTTTAATTCATATTGTGAAGCTTTGCTTTATCATGATCGCTGAAAAAATGCATCTTTCCAAGCTTCAAGTTGCACTTGTATCCCAAGGACTGTCCAATCACCATCAGCATGTGGAACTACTGGTCAATAATACAGCTGCTGGTGTGATTTTGTTACCACAACAAGTAGAGTGTGTTCTTAAGCACGTACCAAATATTTTTGTGAATTCCTGTGAGAACTTTTTGTATACCAAAAACACCACAAGAAATGCTAAATACCTAGCGACACAGACAAAAACAATGTCTTGATTTTCCTCTTCTGCTTTTCCACAGTCCTGTGTTTGTTGACTTGAATAGTTTGTCAATGTGTTTTTTTAAGTGACAATTCTTTTTCGAACATTTTTCAAGGAAGCATTCCAAGATGACTCTGTGAAACAAATGATGTGGCACATTGGGATACTCTTAAATGATTTGGACAAAAGCTAGAAAACACCTCTCACATCAAGCACTCACACAAATGCTAAAAACTCACTTCTGTTATGACTCACTTCTCAAGGGGTGTCTATACAATAATAATAATAAAAAATGTGTGAAGAAGTGAATGAATTTGCTCTTCCAATTCAAGCACAGGATCAAGTTGAACATCTTAACATCCCCAGAGTCATCAAATGTCTCAGTACAAACAGTATAGTTCTTTCAAGTACTTTTCACATTTTGCAAAGTTACATAGCCTACATGGAAAATTATGTTGCAATAATTAAGTCAATTTATAAAAAGAAGTAAAGAAAATGCACATTTTGAACAAAGCTAAATTGCAAATGCAAAATATTTATATGGCATCATTCAGACCTATACTGTATGTATAAAAATGTCCAGTATCACTCTGTTCCGTCTCCTTATGCCCTATTCATTTTTACATAACAACTAAATCAGTGGTTCTTAACCTGGGTTCGATCGAACCCAGTTAGGGTTCGGTCGAACCTCCGCCGTGACATGCACGGCTCATTTTGTGCACCAGTAAAAAACATATCTATGTCTTGAATTTGAAAAAAAAATCACATTTTATTTTTCACTAGAGAGGGGTTCAGTGAATGTGCATATGAAACTGGTGGGGTTTGGTGCCTCCAACAAGGTTAAGAACCACTGAACTAAATGCTGTTTAAAAACTATTTTATGTTTGTTTTAGACACAAAAAGCACACGAGTAACGGCAGCGTAAAGGCCTTGTTGAAAAAGAATACAAACCTGCTTCAGATCTATTCTCATTCCTGAAAATATTCAGTTAGTAGTATTCAGTTTAGCAAGCGTGCAGCATAGTTAGAGTTTGCAGGTTTGCTGAAGTGAATTTGGCAAAAATCGTGAATACTGGTGTCCAAGTCCTGTGCTTTGGATAAGAAAAACTTTCTTACACTGAGCTGTAAAAGAAAGTTGGATTTCATCAACTTGAAAGACTGCCAGTAAGCATAATTTTAGCTTCAGTTACTTCTCCTATTAAACATAGCTGGCAAACCAATAATCAGTCCAAATGG